CAAGGTTTGTTTAATAACTGCTTTGCTTGGTAAAATACTTGCATCATTCTAGACAACTGATAAGATCTATAATATGGGCATCCAACAAGTGATTTTATTGCATTGACACGTGTTTACAAATCATCTTGTTTCTGACTTTAACGAACAATAATAGTCTCGATATTCCGTGGTCGAATGGTTAAGTTGGTTAAGTTCGTTGACTTTGTAATCCTAGTCCGCTTCCCACCCGTTGACGGTTCTATTCAGGTGCCTGCTTATGCCTGAAATAAAGCATGGAGTGGTACTTGATGTCGTCCACAACATGTTTAGCTGAAAGGGTGTGAAAATCATTTTACTCCCCCCCTGCATCTCAATCAAAATGAAAAAGAAAAACAAAACTTATACAGAAAGTAAAAAAAAACATGAACAGTTATATTATGATGTAACATAACATTGTTTTTAAGAAAAGAAGAACAATTTAATGATTTTAAGAGAACAAAAACGCGCTGTTCCCGATATAAACGGCGAATTGATCATCGTGACTAATACCCTCGGGCATTAAAGGTGCACAAACTTACGGCTTAATTTAGTTTCAGACATTTAACAATAATGATTTAAGTCTTAAAAATAATGATGGAAAAATAATATATTTATAAAATTTTTCAAACTCAACATAAGATGTTTTTTAAATGATCTACTTTATACATTTATATTGAAATAAAGCAATGATTGAAACAATTTGTTATATATATATATATATATATATATATATATTATATATATATATAATATATATATATATATATATATATATATATATATATATATATATATATATATATATATATATATATAGTCATTGGTTATGCTTCATTTCTTGTAGAGACTATTAGTAGACCACATACTTATTTTACAAGTCAATTAAAAAGCTCTGATATTGTTTGTTACAGCTGAAGGAAACTTTATGCTGAAGACACAGGAAATATGTAGTAAAGCAAACTTATACTTCAGAAAAATATATATTTGAAAGCACTAAGAAATTGTCTTGAAAATATACTCAACCAATTTTCTCGTAGTCTACCGAACCTGCAACATTTTCAATTTTGCCGTTATGGCTTCTTATTTTCTCTATTTTACACAATTATAAAGCCTATTCAGTATTATAATGCCGATCAAATAACGTTATTTTCAGGTTAAAATTCACAATATATCTTTCAAAATCAAATGCAAAAATATACACTATGTATATTAAATAGCTTTGTCTTGTTAAAGGGACACCACCGAGGTCCAAATGCCTACAAAATAAAATTTGAAAATCTTAAAAATATCAAGTGAAGAATTTAAAATAGAAACTCTGAATAAAAAGGATAATTAAGAAATATACTCAGAAGTCTGTGCAATAAATTTATCATTCTGGAAAAAAACGGGTTTAGGGAACTACGTAAAATTTTGCACATACGTTATTGGTCAAGACCTTCACCGATTTGTAGATCAACCTTAAGAAAGTATTTCCAGTCCCGACACGTCAAAAAACCTCAGTGAAGTCAATGAATTTTCAAAATGGAGTCCAAGATTATTCTAAATGACGCTCGATGTAACAGATCACTCTAGCGAGAGACCGTATCGTATATGGGTGTGTTCCAGAATGACTTGTATAAATACCCTTAATGAAAAATGGCTATATCACTCTAAGCCACTGAATTAGTTTGGCACCCAACTGGCAACCGTGTTGTATAAGGCTCCGCTTCCAAATTCACATTGTCTCTTGCACCCATTTGAAATTCGATAACGAATTTTAATATTGTGGAGGAGTGGGTCTTAAATCAAAGGCAGCCACAAAAAGGAGATGTTTCCAGAATCCAAACATTATCAAACCTGTACGTATCTATACAGGTGACGATTTGTACAATGATTTTTGTGTTGTTTATGTCTTGTTCATTTTATCGTCACATTCTCATGTAGTTACTTTTTAAGCAACCTACTTCCATATTATATTGTTGTTTTATTGTGTGAGCTTTATTCTGTATGCACATTTTATCTAAAACATCATTTGGAGGAGTATCATTACGGGTTATCCTTTAAGAACTCAAATGAAGACTTACAGGTAATGCGTAATCAAATTCTTGGTTTAAACATATTTATTTAAGCTCGATTGCGAAACAAGTTTTTGCAACTTTTATTAATCATTTTCGAGTCCGATTCCTGGAACCAACCAGTACGGGTGTCATATAAATAAACATGTTCATGACCCGAGTAGGGCCCGAACCCATTATCTCTGGGTTGAAAGGCATACACACTAACCACTAGGCTACCGCTCAAATTGGTCAAAATGATGTTTTTATCCAAATCGAAAAAAAGTTGATTTTCCATTCAGTTTGGCAAAGTAAAGAAATAGAAATAAAAAAAACAACAAAAAACAACAGAAAACTGGTAATAAACATTCGTAAAGGAAATAACGAATCGACGATGAAAGCTCAAATATGGAAATGGTTAAGTATCATAAATGTCACTGCACATTCTTCTGAGAATCAATAAAAGTTGCCTGTTCCATAATAACGCGAATTATTTAAATGGATTTATTATGTAGCGATACTTGTGATTTATAATTATTGTTTATAATGTAATTATTATCGTCGAACACATGAAACAGCTTTTAACTTAATTTCTCAATATGATATATAACGTTCCATTCCAGATAAATTCACTAGTTTGTTGCACAATAAACGATTTGTTTACTGAACACGTGACCATAAAAAATCAACGTTACAAATGTATTTGTTTTCACTTGAATTGCAACTGTGAATTAACCTATTACTTTGATTTATGGAATTCGATAACAAAACGCATTAATATAGAGTCCAATACATGATTTAAACAAGACAAGGTATGGTAAAGTCGCACATTTATATTAAACCAGGTTAATAGTACAGATTAAAATTTTTTTTGAAAAACTTGATGTAACAAGTTGGTCGTTACTTTGTTTTTGATATTTGAATTTTTCAACACCTTAGTACAGAAATACATTAACTGCTATAAAATTGTATATGGAGATAAACCATTACTGTACCATGGTGGCGTTATATTAACGTTTAACTTACCATTTCTGCAGACATCTTCAATGCTATTCGAAATGCCCTTTCAAAAATTATTCTCAAGCACAAAAAACAAAATACGTAAATACGCGGTTATGGCAAATTTATACGTCCTTTCACAAATATTTTTCTGTTCTGTTAATTTGAAATTTAATTCTAACAATACAAATTCTAACAATAACATTTAAACCAGTAAATAATAAGCACTAAGTCTTGTTTATTACTGCAGATCTGATATAAGCTTTTATGTTTCAATTATAGTACAATCTTATAAGTCATTTTTCACAACGAAGATCAATTCAATACGGAGCACTTTACATATCATATTGTATTACATGAATACGTGCATATCATATTGTATGCCATGAATATGTGAAGTGCATCTAATTGATACATAAAGTATCAATTTCCACTTGTTCACATATTCTGTCATTGTTTATATTTCATAATAATTATCAATAATGATTATATGCATATAAATGAATGGAATTGTCCATAGTTTTAACATTTTATTTTCTGCAAGTGTAAGAATTAGTACATGTATGACATATCAAATGCATTCTTGAATATTCGAGTTTTGGTGAAAATTCTTAAATTAATGTCAACCTGTAACCTTTTCATAATGTGTCCATTTTTTGTTATTAACAGTTAATTTTATATGATAAGGGAGTTCCACTGAGGTCAAAAAGTAAAACAAAGAAATCCATACACAGATCAAGTAAATATCTTTACGCGATTCTTAGCCAGATTGGAATGAAACCCGTCGCGATTCTTTTTATTTCGTGGTCATTTTGCACAATAAAAACTATCATTCTGGAAAAATGTGGTGAGTTGAAAACAACTTATTTGTCCAGGCCTACATCAAATGGTACATAAATCTTTGGGGAAAATTTTAAAAAAAACCTAAGTAGTGGAATCTTATCTATTTATAATTTTATTCATTCCGCCTATCGTATTTTTTTAATAAAACTGCTTCTACGTAAGGCTATGTTTGAAATTTCGAATTTTCTAGGCTCTTGTATCAGATTTAATCATCATGTACGAAAAATGTATTCCGTATATTTCATTCGATTATAGGTTTTGATACAAATCTAGTTTTTGTATAATAGTCCATCATCCCGAGTACCGGAATCTCAAAAAGCAGTGGGAGGTCAACAAAGTGTGTGTTATACCGATTAAACCTGGGAATTATATTGTTCCCATGTAATAGCATACTGTAGAATGATTATAATAAGGAATATCAATTCACTAGGCTTCCAACAATCTAGAAAATAATGTTTATTATCATATATAAAACATATTTCAAGAGATGAATAGCTTTTGAATGATGAAACGCTATGATTTTGTGATTTTTTTCGAAAGGCTGTAGGAAAACACCTTTGGGAATTTTATATTTAGATAATATAAAATTACGACTTATATCGTTTCATAACAAGCATTATTGACATGGGAAGTTCTCTGCGATTCAATTGAAATAGTATTAATATCTTTTAATTTCAAATTGCATTCTTTATGAGCTCTTTCTTGCAAAGTATTTAAAAAGGTAATCAACAGAATTCCTAATAGGGCATAAACAGCTAAATTGAAAGTGTTACAGACTGATATTATACATGCTTCATAAAATCTGATTCCCTCTCAGAATTCCATTTGGTTAAGTTCTGCCCGTTGTTGCACAAACATTGTTTGCACTCAGTAGTTTGCACTTTCAAGTACGGCCCATGAACAGGTTTGATCAAACCGATGTCGCAACATTTTCAATTTTGCAGTTTTGAACTTTCTTTAGGGATTTTATTTCACTATAATTTGTGCTTTTTATTAATAAACTGTTTCTTTGTCGCGATTTGTTATATTCGTCTTGTTAATGGTGTAGATGGAAATCATTTTAGCATTTATTATCAAAATAACAAAACTAAGACAATAAAATCAAAATCATAATGCCATGTTTTTCCATGCAACTATCACAACCAGACTGAATACAATAACCAAAGGAAGAAAGCTTGCAACAATAAAATAATCGCCTCTGCTCTTTTTCTTTGTTGTTCTCGAGAATCCGTATATCATCTGTCTGTACACCACGCTTTTCACCATCGAGGTCAGATTTGCATATGCAGTTGATATACGCAGTTGCCCTTTGTCGGCGGCTTTGTGAAATTTATACAGGACGTTTTCCAGTTCTTTAATGCTTCCTTGATTGACAATATCTAGTCTCATTTCAAACGTATTAATGTCTGAAAAAGAAACTTCATGATTATGTTAAATGCAATGTTTTATTTTTGTGAACAAAAGCTCTTTACGCAGATGTTTTTAAAGTGCATTAAAGGACATTGTAATGAAGATAAAAGAGATGAGTGTGATTGTATTCAGTCAGAACAGTTATTATACATACCTGACTGGGCCATTAGTATATTATCAACAAAGGTCAATGAACAATTTAGTTGATCGGCAAACTGTTTACGAATATCGTTAATTAAATCCTCTGTTATATCCATCTGGTTCACTTGACTATCACAGTAAAAAAACAGACTGACTCTGGCCAAGTCAGTATCATTGGCAAATCTTGGATATGGAGTGTTTGTTTCTGTAATAAAAGGCGACAATGCGTGAACAATATGTTGCAGTACGCAACACTGTGAGGTGACGTCATAACACAATTTCGAATTCTATTCCTCAAGTACACGGTTGTCAAACATATATCGGTCGAGCGTAATATAGCTTTAATTTGCAATCGAAGAAATTTAGTATTTGGCAATATATAATGACCACTTCACATAATATTTTTTGACAAAATGACAGATTATTGTTACTCCTAGTACAATTATAAATGTTTAAACCCCGTGTTTCCGGGACGAATATTAATAAATAAAAATCATTTTAATTGTGAAAAGTGACCTTAATCTGAAAAGCGTGTAAACGGTGTTAACTGAAATCAAGCTTAATATCATACAAAATACGATTTTCAATTTTTATCAAGAGTACACTTCACTAGTATATTTTGCATATCTTTAGAATTTCTTTCTGTTCTAAGTGCCAATAAGATCTTTAGACCACACAATTCAAATTATATGTTTTAAATATTTTGGGTGGCTTTAACTAACCTACCTATACGTTCTTCTATCGGCATGCAGAAAGAATGTCTTGCATAAACCACCATATCTTAAATAAAATAAAATAAAAACAACCAATAAACTTGTTATTATTTAATAATGTATGTATTGTACAAAGGTAAAACACATATACAAGGCAAAGTAATTTATTATTTTCTCTATTGTCGATTCTGTTAAATGTTTTGTTATTTCAACATGAAAGTGTTATTTCAACATGACTCATACATTAGTTATATCTGCTATAAGAAAATAATTATTATAATTGTCAATACATTGTATATATTTAATGTACATATGTTAAATTACAATACTAAGTTTACAGTACTATGTCGTGTGTGCATCCTAAACACTCACTGGATATAAAATCCGGAGGTGGCCCATCTGACATAAACAACAAAATAGATTAATATTAAGAACTATTATCATTCGATTTTTAAAGACAAACCTGTAAAAACCCAAAGTCTAACATTGGTTAATAAAATACAAATGAAAATATCCGCAATGAATATTCACATACATGGGTGAGTATTTCGAACCTATTGTTAAAATTAAGAAGCAGTTAAATGTGTCTGAGGCATAACATGCCTTGAACAGATGTTTAGAGAATGTCGTAAGGCTCTCGCTACTATTTTTGCTTTTCTTCTCAACGAGGGTATGTATTCTTCGCTTTACAAAGATTAATTACCACAATCGGTATTGTCAATGCAATAAGGGTCTTTTTGCAAGCTAAGTGTTTACTCCTAGAAGACGGACCGGATGCTGCAACAGTAGGGAATGTAGGTTCTGGTCTAGCATGGACGTAATAGGATTTCTCATATTTTTTTCCTTCCTTTTTCATAAACTAGAGCTGTAATAATGGAAACTTCTAGTTGCTCATTTGTTCAATTGTTTAATATCCGACATATTGCTTACGTTTTGTCGTCTTTCCTGTAGTAACACTGGACAAGTTGTAGTATTTTCTATTTTTTAAGTCATTAAGACAATATTCATGCATTTCACCTATTTTGCTTTCGTTTTCTTTATTGACATTATACACCACTGAATTGAAGAGAAAAGGTTTATGCATATTTCCGTTATGTGCTTAGTATTGTAATTCACCAATTAGTGACATTGATGAACGTTGTTTTGTCTCTTCCTCTTTTCCGGATTTAGAATAATCTTTGCGGTAAAAACATAGCTTTAATGTCGCTTCGAAATACTCGTAAAGCTACCTCATAGCAATCGTTAAATATGCAACAATAACTACAATTGAATATTAAGAAATAAGAATAAGGAATTGATCAAAAATATTTTTAAAATAATATCTTTAAAGCGAATTTGAAGGGAAATGTAGTCTGTCTGCTCTAAAGGTTAGAATAATCAATTGTTTTTAAACGTTTAATACCTACTACCAAACATGAATAAAGTTTTGCATTGTTGACAATTAAACGTATTACGAAGTTAAATGAATTGAAAAATTTATCTTCGAGAGTGTTATTTCCATTTTGCATTTAAATAGCTCTCGGTTATTATATGGCCATTGATATCATACTTTATCGTTTAAAAGCGTTTATCTTAAATTATAGTCAACAAAAGTACAATTCATTTGTGCCTCCATTTATTCATTTTCATTTATGTAACTTTCAAATTACACAGCATTTAAAGAAAGCAATATATGACAAGCTTCCTTGATAATGCGTTACGCAATTCCACGCAGGAGATCGTGAATAATGGATGAGGATGTTCGAGTAAGCATGATACTTTATGATTTGAATCATTTATCTTTTCACATGAATGTTCTTCTTTTTATTTTGTGTGCGTGGGGGGATAAAGTTTTGCTTTTGAGCCGTTGTATCCTAACAAGACATTTCCATGATTATCATAGCCAGTCGGTTAAATAAAAACCTTTTCGAAAAGAAAATATTTTATTCTCATTAGAATTTTTTAAAAAGAATTTTATGTACATTATGAAAATCGAAACATTTACTATGTCAATTGTAAATTATATTTTTTTATGTTCCATTTTTGTACCAACAACCATGTGCTTATTAAAAGAAACAACTATCAAAGTTAATATATTGCTAAAATTTTGTTATGTTTATCATGCAAAAAAAGTATTCAGACACTGACACAATCCTGATTCAGATTTCCTGTTAGATATTGCTCCATAGCTTAGTCAATCCATTAAGTATGTAAAAGGTATGTATATACAGTCAGGACTCAGGATATGTCTGTATATCGAATTTGTCAGTATAGTGAATTTCATCATTCTTCATGTAAGGATATGATTATTCGTATCTGAACATTATGTATTCAGATGTATAATAAACATCTAATGAAAATGATTATTGTGTTCACTTCATCACACACATTACATAATTATCATACACATAATAAACTACTTCATTCAAATAATAACAACTTGTAATGGATACAGTACGAGTTTTTCTTCGAAAGTGTCTTCTTACATTATACATTATTTAGGCTCTTGTTTTACTATCAAGTACTGAGAACATACCAAGAAGAGTCCTTTAACTGGCCCAAGCAGGACACCATACATTTCAACTGTATTAAACCCACTAGGAAAGTAACGGTTATTCAAAATTGTCTTTTTACAGACGTAAGAAGACACTTTTTGAATAGCTCTGCTGGGGGAATAGTCGTATAAAAATAGTTAAAGATTTTTATGAAAATGATAAGACTTTATAAAATAAAAAGCACATACAATGATAGGATTTTTAAAAGTTAAACCTTTAAAAATTGATTGCACACTGTTAGTTGTCATAAGTTGGTAAGTGTAACAAAATTCAGCTGACAACAACACATTGGTATTGTAATAAGGTGTAACAATCAATTGACCACGCTACAATACCTGTTTTAACACTTTGGGGCTTTTTTTATACCCGCGCTTGACTTACCAAGTGTCAGTTTAACGGGTACTGATTGTATAGAAAATAACATGCTTGGTTTCCAATTTCATTGTGTCGGAGTCGGAATACGAATTTTCCGTTATAAAGAATTATAATAACGTTGAAATAATTTGGTTCTCACCTATTCACTGTCGTTATTTGAATTTGTCAGTATACTGGATTCCGATGTATTGAGTCCTGACTGTAATTTAATAAAAGCTACATTTTAATCCATAATTGCACTCTTGAACGTAATTTGCAATCGCGTATATCAGATAATTTTCGCGTCTGCCAAATTTGCCATTTTGGCAGAAATCTCATATAGCGAACCGTTAGCCCTTATCTGCTGACAGAGCGACAAAATATTATTTTTATCATATACACGATGCCGGACTGCCCCGTCAACAAGACACACTTCGTTTTAACAAGAATAAATCATAATTTATTGTGACCTCATCAGAACAAAGTGTGTATAGTTTACGCGGGACAATCAATTGCATTGGAATTTGGGTACGCCAAAAAGGTTAAGTGAGGAACATATATTGTCAACAGGATGAATAACATTACAATTCTCGTATGCTATTCTTTTCACAAACAGATACGTTCAAGTTATTTTATGCTTACTGACACGTTTCATCTTCTTTTAACATTTTCTCTTTGTTAGCTGTTATTGTGTGTACATGCTTCTGCAAATTGGGAATCATTTGATTTTATTAGACAAACTGTGAAACAAACGCTTACTCGGTAACAAAGTACTTGTTACCTGTTTTTCTCTTTTTCTCTCTATTTTATGGTCACATCAGTGTAATTTGTGCATGGTGGCGGCTGTAAAAAGTCTCCCCGTACATTTAATTAAAGATGTTATATTTTAGATCCTTGAAGATCGTTCAGCACGACATAATTGCTGGGTAAACATGTTATTTGGTATTTTTATTTCCTCTATTTGGCCTTTTTCAACTTGAGTGGTTCCAGTATTCCTACTTGAATACTGTAAAATCACCTTTAGGATATTTTGCCTGTTTTTTAAATTGTCTTTTGACGTCTTGTCTAGGATATGCAGGCTGAATTACCTCAGACCCCCTTTCAAAATTCCATTTTATTTAGTTCCGCCCATTGTTTTCTCGTTAAAGACACACGCATTTTATAAATTGGGAACCATACGCTCTTTCATGGAATGGTACTACTGTGTCACAATATAGGTTCCATGATGACCGCCGTATTCATTTTACATCTGCGGATGTTTCTAAATTCACAATTTCACCATTTTTGTGTTTACATGTTGAATTCTGCTTAGGGGGCGTGGACGGTATTTTGTACTTGACAGTACCGTTCATTAACAGGCTCAATCAAACCGAGCCTGCAACATTTTCAATGTTGCCGTGTTGGGCTTTTTTAGGGATTCTGTTTTTCTCTATTTTGTAATGAAATAAATAAAGATGCTTGGTTACAGGAGAATTCAATGGCAGTTTGATTAACATTTCAGACTACGTTATAAATGTTACTAGTTTTAATTAAATATATGATTTTCAATGGTCTCTTTCACTGCTGTAAATGAACCGGGGAAAAACACACACAAAAAACACTTCAATGGGTAGCTTTTCATTATAACATTGTTAGCAACCCAATTAATGGTTACCTACATGTGTTTATTTCAAAGCTCTTCCTGGAATTAACAAAAACAGTTCTTTAGGAAGAATCATAATAAATTCCAAAGTATTTTCAAAGAGTGTTGGGTATTATCATTATGTCAGAATTTTTGTTACTAATTAATTATGAATTAGTTTTTACGCCAACAGCTCTGTTGGGAATTGATTGTGTTTCGATTTTAAATACAAGGAATTTATGAGTCGTGCATTGAAGCATATGATTAAAATTTCAAAACTTATGGTGGCTATAATAATTTAATTCTCTTTTCATATCAGCTTGTTAAGCGGTAAGACAAGATATTGTTGTTACATAATGTTCTTATTGATCTTTTTTATAACAAAGTTATTGGACCAAAACTATACTTTGCGTGTTTGAAAAAAAAACAATATCGACTATGTACCATCAATTATACTTAAAATTCAACCAGCCTTTCAAATGCATTTATTTCCAAACAAAAATGCAAAAAGTGAAATAAATATTTTAGCGATTTTGTCATACTTGAAACATATTAC